TTTTTACAAATAAGATGGCAAAAAAAAAAAAAAAAAACAGCTAGATTTCAGAGTTAAGTTAAAAATTACTTGTAATACATTTAACAGTCATTCAACTCGAATGAAGCCTGCTATTTTACCTTCAGTTTTTATTATCACCAAGCTCCTTATTCTTACCCTGGTCTGTTTCCTGTTGTTTTTCTGCCTTTGTAATATAATACTTTAATCTTCATCCTTATCGCTATCCATCCTCACACTTTCTTTCTCTCTGCCAGCTTGTCACTAGGATCTCATCCTTCTCATCTTCCTCACCAAGAGATGAAATCTCATCCTCATTCTCATCAACTATCAGTACCCCCTGTTCTTTATACCATATTGAAGTGTCATAAAAATTCTGTGGATTCATCTCTGGAATTCATTGTCTGGAATACATCATAACGTGCATTTATAGCATGTGGCATTCTTACAAATGCATTACAAAACCCTTTTTATGGTGTGCATGTGCACACACATGCACACACGCAAACATGTATAGATAACTAGACAGAAAGAAGGACAGACAGGCAGATGATTGTAAGGATTTTCCTTACAACAAAAACTTAAATTCTTTGCAAATGTTTCACCTATCTTGTATTCTAACCTTGTTGCCTGGTATTATCTTATAATGTTCCATTAATGCGCAACGTTATCTAAGTGGCGTTTTTTTTTTTTTTGGCAATTTTCTTCGGCATATTTGATGAAATGCCATGTGCATATTTTAAAATAATTCTTTACTAACCACTGAAGATGATTTAGATTTTGAACGTGGTTATTTGGGTGAAAATAAGTGAAACATGCCCTTTATGTCAAGAAAATGTTGGGTGAGATATTCACTTGTGTGTACAGAGGAGGAAAATGGACCCCTGTCATGTGACCACTTTTTTAGTTTTTCATTGGTTAGTATTTAAGTCCACCTCCCCTGTGTTTGCACTGACCAATTAAATGTGTGTCTCGTTTTATTCTAAAAAGGTAAATAGTCTATGTTGCCTTCAGGCAACAACGTACCATAAATGATTTATTTTAAAGTCTTCCCTTATTTTACCTCATCAGTGCTTCATTTCCGACGGAGTAGTTTGGTTCTGTGATGTGAGGAGCAGTGTGTGTGTGTGTGTGTGTGTGTGGGGGGGGGGGGGGGGGTGTTCTGAGGCTGAAATTTAGAGCTGCAGTGTGCCACTTCTCCCCAGTGGTTGGGTCGGTAGTCACCCGTTGAAAGACCTGTGCTCTGCTGTGCACGTCTCTCTAATAAAGAGAGCGCTCAAGTATGAAAACCCTCCAGTGACTGTAGATGTTGTGAATAAATTGTTGCTCACGTGTTTCACTTAATCACACCGCCCTATCCCCCCAGCGACTGAGGGCCTATGATTTGATATGACTGGCTCTTGATTAGTATTTACAGTGTTGTCAAGGTGAGCTGACGACTGGTGGGTAAACAGATTCGCTGTCACTGCTTCACCGAATCAGCCGCTGTTGACTTCAAATCCACTTTTCCCATCCCCTCCCTCCTGGTCTCCTCCCCTGCCTCTGAAGACTGTAGTTGTCAGAGCTGTGAGTTGCTTTTGACGGAGTCATGATAGAACGGCAAACTGGATTGCACTGGCTGAGAGTGAATCATTGCCTTTCAGGGCCTTTCTTTGAATTTTGATTAAAGAAATAAAGAAAGGAAATCATTCTCAGTATTGGCAGGGATATGTTGCACAATGCCATAAATTCGACACTGACTTGCTTCACTGGAAACCATCTATAGTGATAATGATTTTCTTTCTTTCTTTTCTCTTTTTTATTTCCTCACAAGTCTTTGCACATCCCTCTGAATGTTTAGTTCATTTCTCAAACAAAAGCAACGGTGGACTTAACTGAGGATCGCTTTTCACTTGTTTGACAATGTTTGGCGTTTTTCCATTGATTTTTTCCTCCTCCATGCAATGTCGACTTAACATCAACAATAAAAATGTACAACCAAAGAAAAGTAAGTGCTGTCAGAAAGATGAGGAATTGTATTTAATGAAAAGTTGGAAATGTTTATTAAAACTAACTTAATTGTATTTTGTTTACGTTAGAATAACTGCTTTTAGTGACAGCAGTGTTATCCTATTCATCTTTCTGATGACTGCGATACTCATTTATTATTTCTTTTTACATTTAACAAACCTATCATGACTTGCCCACATCACTCACAAGGCTTAACGTCAAAGGTAGGCGAAAACTTTATAATCACTTCTGACTAAAATATGTAGTTCATGTAATAAATATAGGGACCACGCATAAAAGGAAAAGGAAAAATTTGGGCAAATTGATGTCACAAAACCTTTGGATTCTTAAACGGGTTTGTAAGTCTGCCTGTAAGAGTCCCAGGCCTCATAACCTCTTGATATTTTTACACATAGAAATTTATGAATATAAATGTTTCCAGTCTCATTAAAATAATTTTAAAACAGCCATTCAAAACAACTGTACATTCATTTCACTTATGATTAAAAGTCCTCTGACTTTTATATCACTAAAGCATTTAATAAGGCATAGTTAGGGGGTCTTGAGGCAGTGATTCACAGATGAGTGGGTGGGGATAGTTGTCTCAGGTTCCAAGTCAAATCTATTCTTTGCATGTTCCCTCTGGCATAAAAAAAGATAACTGGGTGCTTCAGAAAATCCCATTTCCTATTGTTACTCCTTCACATACCCCTCGCCTTGGCCCTTCATTTGAAGCAACAAGGGGTAGTGGTTAAATAGGCCATTATGAAATGTGACAACCCTTCAAGAACCTGATATGTAATTAGTTGTTGCCAATTTATTTTCCTTAAACAAACCAATGTTGGTGTATTTATATGGAAATATAGTTATCTAGTTTGCAACAGACTTCAGGATACCATGTCATTTTTTTAAGTTTGTTGTGAAAAATCAACAGCGACACTGAACTACGTTACAATTGTTGAAATATAGAGAAATGTGATATTCTGCTATGTTTAAAGTTAAGCATAACACACACACACAAACACACACACACATACGTGTTTTCATGAAATATAAAGACGTATGACAAAAATAGGACAAATGGGTACATGCCTTTCCAAAGTTTCTAGATGCCTGAGAATCGAATGGTTTTTGACTCATGCTTCCAGGAAAACATCCATCTATTGAGATTTTAGCTAGGCTATACTTTTGTCAAATGTGATTTTTATGTGACTTCTTGGGACATTGTCTGGTTTACGTGACTTATGAGGGTCAATGTGTTATTCTGCTATTTTTAAAGTTAAGCATAACACACACACGCGCACACACACACACACACACACACACACA